GGAGTGTATATTATGGAAGCGAAGATGTAACAATATGGTAATTAAAATGGATTAATAGAAATGCTGTTTCATTTTCAACATGTACCTGAATTTTTTGACTCAAAAGTAAAATTATAAATAAATAATCCAAACTGTATGCTCGTTTTTTCTCCAAGACTGCTCAAAGTGTAAATTAATTAAAATGTTAAATAAAACAAACATTGACAATTAATTTTCAAAACATGTCCTGGTAAAAAGTGACCAAAATTCATTTTGAAAAGTCAAATCGGAAAATTATAGTACATTAGCAGAAATACTTTTTTTTCATTTCAAAGTCAAACCTGCATTGTTTTACTCATAAATAAAATTAGAAATAAAAATCCAAACTGCATTATCATTATATTTTCCAAGACCGCTAAATTTGCATTTCTGCTTAATTTTCCAATTTGACTTTTCAAAATGAATTTTGGTCACTTTTTACCAGGAGATGTTTTGAAAATTAATTGTCAATGTTTGTTTTATTTAACATTTTAATTAATTTACACTTTGAGCAGTCTTGGAGTAGAAAATGAACATACAGTTTGGATTATTTATAATTTTACTTATGAGTCAAAAAATTCAGGTATATGTTGAAAATGAAACAGCCTTTCTATTAATCAATTTTAATTACAATATTGTTACATCTTCGCTTCCATACCATTGTGGCCTGAGAATATGGAACCAGCTTCTGAACCTTCTGATTTCAAATCAAATGATTTATTTTGGTTTGTGAACATGGGAACAACTTCAAAATGCTCAACGTCCATCGAACAGGACCCAGTCTTGGCTACACAAAACATGACGCAACAAGGGGGACGCCTTTCAGGTTACATCAGATGTGTGACATGTTTTATTACAAGAGGGTTGGGACTATACCATCCTGAACCCAGCACTGAAGAACCCTCTGCAGTACCACAGGGAAGCACTGGTAATGAAAATGATTTAATTAATTCATAGAGAGATGACTACAGGAACTGTGGCAGATACTGGGGCGCCGTATAGGGGAGAAGAGTTAGGACAAGGCCAAGAGCCCTTGACTGATTCGGCCCCACAAAGAGGAAGAAAGATAGGAGACCAAATTGTTGGGGGCCCCAGTCTGTTACATTAATGAAATCTTTGTGTTCTTGCTTTTGTTAGTAAAAGTTAAATGTTAAAAAAATTAATAACTGTATAGTTTGCATGTTCTCTCTGTGCATGCATGGGTTTACTCTGGTTTTCCCCACAAACTAAAAAAAAAAAAAAAAAAAAACTTTAGGCTAATTGGGACCTCTAAATTGCCCCTTCATGAGACAATGGACGACAGTGACAGAATGATTGGATCAGTTCTGCTGTTGGACCGTGTAACTCACTATTTTAATAATTTCTGTTATGGACTAATTATTTATATCTGTCTCACCTTGACGCTGTCCAGTACTCATATATCTTATGATAACTACTTTCGGCTGTTTTAATCTGTTTGCCCCAGACTTCAAGACTCCAGCAATGCATGACCTCTCTTATTTTTGATAAGGAAGCTCTTGGGCTGAGAGCCCTGTTATTGGTTAGGTGGTTACATTTGTCGGACTGTGATTGGTTGTAAATGTGTCACATAATGTTATATCATTGGCTGCGCTACGCTGAGAGACAGCCACAACTTGACAGACTTCCTGATTGACCTTCTGCTGTGTTGTTGCTCAGAATTAAATCATTTGACGACCATACACGCAGACTTTGTGCATTTATTCCGTGTTTCTGCATTCTTGGTAAAACTTGCCACGACAATATCCAAAAAGGCTAAAACAAAGCTAAAATAATAGTTTAAAAAAGCAGAATACTAGCTAAAAGAAGCATAATGTTAGCTAAAGAGTAAAACAAAACTAAGCTAAAATCTAAAAGAGACAAAGCACTAACTAAATAATTAGAACTTTAGTAAAAGTAGCATATTAGGTAAAAAGAGTAAAACACTAAGCTAAAAACTAAGAGAAACAAAACATTAGCTAAATAATCAAAACACAGCTGAAAGCATAAATATTTTTAGCTAAAAATAGTAAAACATTAAGCTAAAAACTAAGATAAACAAAACACTAGGGCTGTGTATTGGCAAGAATTTGGCGATACGATACATATCGTGACAGAAAGGTCACGATTCGATATATCCCAATATATTGCGATACTGTAAGCAAGGCGATATATTGCGATTTTTTTGGTCCAAAAACTCTGTTAAATAAAAACCTCTTACTGGGGAAAAAAAAAAAAAAGAAAAACCAAAATTCATTGTCTCAGAAAATTCAAATATTACATAGACATACTTTTGATACATTTAGC